CTCTTTGAAAGGAAAGACTGTCAAGATAATTAGTAGAAGTGCTTCCAGGTAGATGATAACCTTTTCTGAAAACAGTAATCCAAAATGGACCTCTCATCAATCAACAAAAACAAAGCAAAAACAAACAAACAAAACTCACAAAAAACACCGCAGTAATTTAGGCCTAATGAGGGAAAATTTTCTGATAATTCAGCAAATAATTCAATGAATGCAAAGCATATGTGAAATATCAGGGCAAAATAAGAATTAGATATCAATTCTGCTGCATTCAAGTAACTTAAGAGTATAGAGGAAATCTCTGAGACATAAACATTTCTTTTAATACAAGCAGGAAAAGTGACAGGAGTCTTTAAGTGATGGGAAGGTTTCATGGACATTCCAGAGAATGCTATTCAAAGTGAAATTTGTATTTTAGATACTTACTGAAATTCATAACAATCATTTTATATGTGTTGAACCTATATACCACAAAATAAAATCAGCCTTGTACTTGATATGAACTTTTCATTTCACTTTTCTAATTAATTCTCATTCATTTTGCAAAAGTACTGGTAAATGATGGAGAGTTAAATAACTAGCCCTTTACTACTGTAATTTGAGAAGCAGTATATTCTAGAGCCATATCACTCAACTTGGGATGTTGAAAGCCTATTGCTAATAAATATTGTGCCCATGTTTTACTTCTTTGAAATCATTTGATCTCCACATATATATAATGCATATATATGTATAATATAAAATATTCAGAATCACAAAAATCTCTTTAAAATTATTATGAATTTATATTGTTCAATAATTCAGCTAGGAAATAAATCTACAAGGGAACAATGTGACCCACTGCCTTTAAAAAATAAAAACATAAGCAATTGAGATTCAGAAACTTTGATGAGCCATGAAGCAAATATTTAAAAGCCAATAATCACAATAAACATCTTTTTATAAATAAAAATAAAGGATATCGTTATAAGGAAAGATCATCCCTACCACCATGGTCAGATAAGAGATGAAGAAACTAGTTTCTTCAGTTCTAGAACACTGCTTGGCACAAACCAAGTGAATGGTATTCAGGAATAAATAGAAAGTGGATGTTAGCATTGTGACAGTAATGATGGAAGCCATTCTTTCTTCAAGAGAAATGCCATTTCTTTACAGGGCGATTCAGTCCTATTTTATTATTTTTTAAATATTCATTCATTCATTTATTTATGCATAAAAGAACTGGGGTGTATTCCAGAGGTCCAGGAGTGGGGGTATGGGGGTAGAAGGTGAGAGGATTCACCAGAGCCAGAGTAGGGAACAGAACAGGCAGACTGACTGAAATACACTGCTGAGGGGAACAGCCGGCAAGATGGGAGAGGTCTGTTTTGTCTTATGTGGGTTAGTTCCCTGGTCTGGGATCCAACTCAGGCAGTAGTGCTGATAGTACTAAGACTTAACCTGTAGGCCATCAGGGAAGCCCTCCAGTCTCATTTTAAATGCAGAGTGTGCTGATTATTAAGAGTATGATTTGTTGTGAAAGATATTTCAGTGAGAACCCACACTTTGTATGACCCGACTAATCCTCCCCAAAATGTAAACTTCCTTACCTGTAAAATGGATATAACAATAGAACGCACCTTAAAACCTGGCTGAGAGGAATAAATGGCCTGAGATAGCAGCATTTCACTCAATCTGGGAACTTAGTAAATACTAGTAAATGTGAGATAACAGTTGGTATGTGGAAACACTGAAATTGCCAATATTCCACTATTTTTGACCTATAACAATAGCAGTTCCCTGTGATTTAACATAATAGTAAGGGTATCTAACTTTAAATAGAGTAAAAAGCAGCTTTCTGTTCAAAATAACTCATGAGACAAAGACTAAAGTATTCTTTTCCTATTACCTCCAAGCTTTTCTACCTACATGTATTTCCCTGGGCTGCTGTCTGGGTTTTAATGGTATGCATGAGCCCGGGAGGCATGTCAACGCTTGGGGAGTATTATCCTAATCTTCTGACAGTGTGATGGCAGGGTGCACCCACCACACACACACACGTCCACGGAACTGGTTCTGGCAAGGCCACAGAGGCAGCAACAAGAAGATCTAACCACCTTAGAGATGGTGGTTAGAGAGATTTTATGGTCCTTTTTGAGCAAAAGTGTCATGCAGTATTTAAACATGAGTACATGAAGTATAAAGCAGTAACAGGCCAGATTCTGGGAAAACAAATCAGAATTGCAAAGTAACTTTATGTATGTGGAGTTGATTAAGTTCATCAGTAAGAGTTAGCATGGGAGGCCACATTAATATTCCTCCACTGAGCATTTTACTCACCCCAACCTTCTATGCTGCAATATGTTCAATGCTACAATTCCTGGGGTCCCATACTCTGATCCCCACCACTGTTACCACACACACAACTATTGTTCCTCTACCCAAGGTAAGAACTCAATCTCTAACACACCTCATGACAGAAATTTCTACTAATTCCCATCATCTATACAAATAGTTATTTTAACAGATTCGACTTATGTAACTTGGAAAATGTCAATCCGTTATCTATGTATTGAATGTGAAAACATTTTTTACTTTTTTACTGATAAACTCAAAGTTAAGGTCCAAATCTTGGAAATATTTTAATAACAAGAAAGATCAAAACACAATTGAATGTTTCCTTAAAACACTGTTTTATACAGTTCTATCTGTTGCATTTCTGGATTTTAAAAACCATCAGATAATTCTTTTGAATAAACACAGCCTATATTACTGTGTTCTAATACAAACTGTATTCTCTTGGAATCCATCTTCTAGCATGGGTTTATGTATTTAATTATATTTCTTGGTTTCAAAAATTTAAGCATATGTTTTTAAAGGGAAAGAACTGTCTCATTTATCTTTACATGCTGCGAAATACCTAGCACTTTCTTCAGAATATACTGGAATTAAATAAATATAAATGAATTAAATTGAAAAGGAAGTACAGGAAAAAGAATTATGCTAATTTTCACATGAAAATACACTATATCAAACAGTGATTTAGGATGTCAGATTAAAATGTCACAATATTCAAAGGAAATTAACAAGGAATCTCAGATTTTCACTAACATGAAGTTGAATTATGTTCATTCCTAGAAACCATAGTGTTCCAAGGTTTAGCTGTCAATATTAGGTGAAACACATTTAATTTAAAATGTAAGTGCCTATTTTCATGAGGCGTGAAATTCATTCAATAAAGGCTAACCCCGTAGGAAATAAGAGTCACAACCAAGGGAAAAGATCCCCATACCGGTACAGGCATTAACAGAAATGTTCATCAATAGCTGATGACTTAATAGGACTAAATGATTAAAGAGTTACTGAAAAAAAGATACATTCTACCTACAAGTACCAAGAATGAAAGAGTGTTCTGAACTCTGGTGACTCTGGAAGCTGGAATGGAAAGACGAGTGTCACCAATAGCTGTACTCACAAATGCATATCACACAAAATACCCAATTTACCATGGGTATTTGCCATGTGAATTACATTAGAGCCCTTGTAGGATGGGGTAACAGTCTACATCCCACTGGTTTGTGTTATAAACTTGTTTTTTTTTTTTAATTTTAATTTTTATATTCCCCATACAATTGTTATAAACTTATTTTTACATATGATCATTCTCCATGTTTCCATTAAAGGTGAATTAAATAACTGAAACTGGTAAGGGTTAGGTAAAGAAAAACATCACTAGTTCTATTGCTATTTTTTAATTTTTTTGTGTGTGATATAATCAAACCTTTATGATAGCTCAATCATATATGCGCACCATGACAATCTTCTGCTTGAAGGCAAATACTTCAATTAAGTATTAGGGTCATGTCCTCTCATAGGATATTTTTTAGAACCCTACAATGACCCATCCAAGCTCAGTCTGAACATTGCCAAGTCTTCTTCAAAAGTGCAACTGGATGATTTCACTCAAGTGCCTATAAAGCATGATCACACCCTCAAACACTTTCTCAGAACAGTTCTACATTGAAGATTTCAAAACTCTAATGACTCTCCTGGACACAATCTCCTAGTCTTCAATCTCTCTATACCTTCCACTTCTGCCCTTTTGCTCTTCCTGGAACCTCCTGCTCCTGGAAGTTTCCCTAACCCTTAGTTCACTGGCATTAAACGGATAGCATGGACAGTCTTTGCTAGCTGGCAGTCACTAGGAATAGGAATAGTAATTTTTATGTCATGCTTTACTAGTCAGAAAAAACCTCTGATGTCATCTCTTATTTGAGTTCACTTGAAATAGGTGACATTCTTAAAATGGAGACTGTATTATTTGTGATCTTATTCTGTTTGCCCAGTGGCTCACCATGCGAGGGTCACCAACAACAAAGGCCAAGCCCCTGCATACAGACTCAACCTCATTAGCAACAGATTCCAACAAAATAAGCAACTCTATCCTAAAAAGAAATACAAACTATATAAAGCAGTCAACAATGCGTATTGGCAGTAAGGCAGTTAGAAAAACAACAGTTGTGTTGAACCAAAGTTCGACATGCAGGTGGCTCAGAAGACTGAGTTAAAATAAATCAAACAAAACCTAACCATGATTAAAATAGGTATGTGTCTTTTTGTTTCCAACTATCTCGAAAAAGTAACAATCATGGAATACTATAACTCTTCAGTTAATTAATTCAAGTTTTCTGCAACAAGCTTCGTACCCTCATCCTGTATTACCACACCATCTGTCGATGGTGAATATTTAGTTCTCACTCACAACCTGCTTCCTAACCCTTAGAATAAATGAATCTCCTTAAAAATCAGAGAAATGTTTTGTTAGATCAGAGTGGGATAAAGACTTATCTCTTAAATAAAATTATATCATTACTTTATAATATGCTGCTGCCATCTCCTATGTCAATGAAGCAGTACCTTCTTAATCATGAACAAGAGTGACAATGTTTAACAGGAGTAATTCTCACTGGTCAATCAGATGGCAATTTTTTTGTATGTAGAGAAAGTAGGTTTAATTCTATTACCTCTAAGTGACTTCGCCTCTCAGCAATCACACGTTCATCCTTGTTTCCAAACAGCTTCTTTGGAGGGAATTCAAGGGAAGCAAGCTGAAATACATATTTTACAAGTGATGATTAATATCACACTTATGATCTTTGAACTGTTGTTAGTCTATTATTTGGAATTTCTACCATGGGTTGAAGGAGAAAAAGAATGAAGTTTTAAGATGCTAAGCCCTCCCTTGCTTTGCTACCAACATACTGTGTGACCTTGAACAAATCAGGCGATTTTCCACAGCAGTTAAATAAGAAGGCAGAAGTATGGGAACTTAAAGAAAGGATAGACTTGAGTCTCAATATTTAGTCTCAGGCATAATTAGACTCTTTGCCAGATGGTGTATCACAACTTTTATTTTTTAAAAGTTTGTTCTTCTTCTAGTCCCTTTCTTATACCAGAAGTAAATTAATTTTGTGTGAGATGAGAATATGAAGACTCAACTTGCACACTATGTGAACATTTCATAAAATAGCTCATAGACCATTGCTAAGGTTCTTTCAACATTCTATGTTGCCTATTTTTTTTTTTTTCAGTTACAACTGCAAATGAAGACTGCCCATGTGAAGACTTCTCTGAATTTTCCGATCTTGTTTCCTACCAAGTAAAAGTTCAGAATCTGTTTTTAGCCAGGTCTTAAAGGCATAAAAATCATCATAAGAGAAGTTTTATTATAGAATCAGAGATAAGAAAGAACTCCATGACCTGTTGAAAATCTGATCAGTCAGAAATGTTTTAGTTGAATGAATGCTAAGCAGGAATAATTGGTATTGATGGAATGCATATTTCCTTAAATTGTGAGGTTCAGAAAAATTGAGAGGACAATGAAGCATTATCAAGAAAAATTAACATTTCTCCCATAATATAGGTCACAATATGCCACAAAATTCCTATTTTATACTCAGGCAACTCTCTCAGTTGATTTATATTGCCACAGTGAGTGACAAAAATTAAGAACTAGCATCTGTATATACAGGACTTTGAAAACAGTATTAAAGTAGAATATATATGCAGAAAAATGCACACAAGTCAACAACTTGATGAATTTTCAACATCTGAACATACTGTAACTACCACTTTTACCAGGCACATAGCACCCCACCAAGCCCAAAAGTTCTCCCCTCCATATATTCCCTCCCCACCTACAAAAGCTGATGCTAGGGCCTCCCCTGGTGGCACAACGGTTGAGCGCTGGTCTGCGAAGCTGCCCGCAGCCACTTCAGCGCCAGTTCGATCCCCGGCCACCGGTGAGGGTCCCACATAGCGTGCAGAATTCTCCTGCCGTGCTCGCTGCTCCCCTCAACAGTGTACTTCGTCGGTCTGCCTATTCTGTTCCCCTCTCTGGCTCTGGTGAATTCTCTCACCCTCCAGTACTTCTGACTATACCCAGTGATTGTATAAAATAAATAAATAAATCTTCAAAAAAAAAAAAAAAAAAGCTGATGCTAGGCCAACTTCTAACAGCATAGTTTAATTTTCCCTATTTTGGAACTTCATGTAATAGTACTATATAGTATGACTGCTTCAGTGTCTTATCCACTCGATCACATGTTGGGCATGGAATAGCAATAATCTGTTCATTCCTATGGCTATATAATGCCCCATTACATGAATACTCAGTAATTTATTAGTTCAGTCTCTTGTTGTTGAGCTTTGGTGAGTTTTCAATTTTTGACCGCTAGGAATGCGCTGCTATGTATACTTCCTAGAGATCTTCTAATGAACATGTTCACATTTCTGTTGGTTAGGCTCTCATAAGTAAAAGTGCTGAGTCACATAGTACTCAAGTGTTAAGCAGTATTTGAAACTACCAAATGGTTTTCCAAAGTGGTTTTATTAACTGATACTTCCAGCAGCTGCAGTTGAGAGATGGAGTTGCTCAACACCCTCTCCAACACTTGACACAGTGGTCTTTTCATCTTAGCAATCCTGATGGATATGCAGTGATTTCTAGTGTGGTTGAAATGTATTTTGCCCTGGTGTCTAATGACGTTGAATACCTTTTCACATGCTTAGTGATCATCTGGCTAGTCATTTCTGGGAAGCATCTGCTCAACTCATGGCCATTATTTATTAGGTCTGCCATTTCCTTGAAGAGTAATTAACCTTTTCACTCTCTTCAAGGTGTCTTTATAGTTGCTTTTTAAAGTGAACTGATGCCAGATGTTTGTTCCTTTCATACTCTACTGCTCTTTCTGACAAAGTGGAGAAAGCTTGAGGCAGGTGGGATTTAGAATGTCTCCTTTTTTCACCAATACTGAATTTGATGCTGACATTCAACCTTAAAATCAGCTTAAGATAAAGTGAAACATCATAGGCAGTGAGATAAAACAATCCAGTTTGAATCTTGGCTTGCCTGCTAACTAGCTGTTTCTCTGAGTATTCTTGGCTAGAAAAAAAGGCAGACAATGATACTAAACTTCAAGTTTCTTGAAGATTTAACTAAGGAATGCCAACTGCACCTCACTCCTATTATTGCTAGAGATCTGGAAACTATGTAAGCAGGGCACCACATCTCCCTGTTCTCTACTCCCCCTATCCCTGGACTGGCACTATGGCTTCCAGGAGTAAAGGGTTTTCTGCAGTTCTTGTCTCACAAACATATTTCCCATATGCTACAGTTTAGGGATGACAGGTACACCAGAGCTTGTCTTTTGGACTTCATGCAGCCTTGATTTCATCCTGGACCAATGTGTTTCCCCCTGATGCAGTCAAACAGCAAGCTTGGCAAGCATGATTTCACAGTTGGTTGTTTTGTCATTTTCTTATGTGACTGATGAGGTGATGTGGTTTCTGTCAGGGGGAATTTATAGTCACACTTGTACACACAACCAGCTATGGTGTGCTAAAAGGACTTTAAGCAGCTAAACCAGGTGGGGAACATGCATGAAAATTTGCTCGTAGTCAACAGCATTCCAACTTGAGACAGAGACTAATATTTTGTGCTATTAATACCTACTCTGTGAAATAACTACATATAAATTATGTATATACTGCTATTCAGAGTTTAAAAAAGGGCAAATTCAAAAGGCTTTTAGGCATAGAATCATAGGACCACAATATTTAACCATCTAACTTTAGAGACAAAAATAAAACAGGTCAAGATAAATACTCTCATTAAGAAGTAAGAGTTGGGCCTCCCCGGTGGCGCAGCGGTTGAGCGCTGGGTTGCGAAGCTGCCCGCAGCCTCTGCAGTGCCGGTTCGATCCCCGGCTGCTTCCCGGCCACCGGAGGAGGGTCCCACATGGCGTGCAGACCTCTCCTGTCGCCCGCTGCTCCCCTCAGCAGTGTACTTCGGTCCTTCTGCCTGTTCTGCTCCCCACTCTGGCTCTGGTGAATTCTCTCACCCTCTTGCGCTTCTGACTGTACCCAGTGCATGTATAAACAAAACAAACAAACAAATAAATGAATAAATAAAACATGCCTCTATTAAAAAAAAAAAAAGATTTAAAAAAAAAAAAAAGAAGAGTTAAGTGACTTTGAAAGGCTCAAAGTCATGTGGTGGCAGAGCCAAGCTGAGGGATTAGGACTAAGTCTAGGTTTTCCATGATAATGTTGTAAAGGATGTCTACAGTATAGAGAAGAACCGCCTCTGAAGTCCTTGGGGATATAGCCCTGAGATAAAAGTAAGTAACCTTTCCTTAAGTGTACTGTGACAGACAGCTTCTAGGCAGTGACCAACAGTTGGAAGAAAAGTTGTCATTGAAAGCTCACTGAAGACCTGTATCTTGACAAAGGTTCAGTAACATCAGAGGGGATAACAGCAGGAGAGAGTGGTCTGAAAGGACTTTGCAGAAGTCTGTCCTGACACACAGGAGATGATTAATTAGATCCTATCACTTTAATCCTTTCATAATTAAAAAATAACATTGGTGGCTATCATTATACATAGTTGAAGTGTGAGAATGTTTCCAGGGAGAAAAGGAATGGGATCAGAGGCTTCAATGTAATTCATGATAGAATGAAATCTGCATCCCCTTGTCCTGTTGGTGGAGCTGAGACATGATCAAAAAACCAAGGCCATGGGGCAAAGTATTTTTTTTAAGCCTCCATTAAAATAATTATGTTTATGTCAGAAATAGCTTCCCAATTCTCTTCCCTCTGATAGAATGGGAATTCCATGTTTCCTTTTTAGACAATCTAAACAGTGCTGTTTATGTTTTGCTATACTTAAGCTCATAGGGTGAATGGGATTAAATTGTCAATTTTCTATGTTGATAATGGTTGAATGTCATCAGTTTCATCCTGTTAAACTTTCTATAAAACTTGGATGTTATTAAGCTACCGCTAGGCCAAAAATACATTTCCAGCTGCTTTACCTGCCAGGTATAAATATTCTTATTTGATGGACCGTTGACTGGCTAATATTGTCTAAACCAATATTCTTTCAAAAGACTATTTTTCTTAAAGGACTCAAAAATAAAGCAAAGCTAGGAAATATATGAAATATATTTGACAATGAAATAGACAAGGAGTTGCAAAAGCAGGGCAAGAGGCACAGCAGTCACTTGGGGACCACAGATGTTGACATAGAGCATATTATAGTCACACCCATAAAAGCATCTCATCTTTCAGAAAGAAATAAAAAAAAATCATAATTTTTCTTTGGGTAAGGGGAAAGAGGGCAGGGATTGCTGCTTAATTCTTAAAATAGTAATTCTATAAAAATTCTTATATGTGTTTAAAGTCTAGGGTAAAAGAGGCCTGAACTTTTCTCTCCAGATACAAAGCTACAAATCTATTTACAAAACAGAAAAGCAAAAGCAATCCTTCATATGTTCCATTTCTAGATTGTGAATTATTTAAACTGTCTAGATATTCTTAAAAATGAATAATTTACTAAGATTGAAAGAGCCACTGGTCAGGACATATAATGTGCCTGGAGAACCCCCCCCCCCAAAAAAAAAAAAAAAACAAGCCAAAAAAACCTCTTTCATTTTGCTGAAAATGCTGCTGTCTGAAAAGTAATTATTTTCAATCAATTAAGATAAGAGAAGTTCAACCAGAGGTATCTGGAATGGTCCTGGACTTCTCTGTTATTGTCCTACAGTCCTACAGTTGTTTGTTTGGTTCCTCATGTTATACAGAAAATTTTAAATGAAATCAGTCTTACCTGAACATTTTCATTATTCTCAGGTTCTTTGCATTTGTCAATTTTCATTTTTATTGTCTCATTTTTTAAAAATCTAACAGATGGTCTAAATGTGATTTCCACTCTCAGGAACAGTAAACAGTATCTGTAGGTGAAGAAAGACTCTTTCCACCTATGGTTTCCTTTGTAACCTTTGAGAAAAGAAATAGTGTCCTACATTTCTACATATTTGTGAAGTTCTCTATTCTTCACAATAACTAAATTCGAAGGAATTGAGATAAACCATTCTGACCATGTAAAAATAATCCAGATATTAGGGATTCAGCAATGAGGAAAAATAATTCCCTTTTTATAAGCTTTCATTTCCATAAAGAGTAAGGACTATCATTTCTCCTTATAATTTCCATGAAGAGAGTTTTGTGATGAAAAGTATGACTGCAACAAAATAATCTTTCTACAAGCCCTAA